CTAGTCCCCTGATCCCTGCCCCTACCCCGCAGAGCCACATTTCTAGACTTTCTCATACACCATAGTGAGTTCGTGGCCAACTTTTGTTGCTGCTGCTGTTTCTTCTTTATGGCTACCGTCATGGTTTTAGTGAGAATGGCCCCCATAGACTCGCAAATTTGAATGCTTTTCCAAAGTTGGTAACTGAGAAGGATTAGGAGTTATAGCCTTACTGAAGATGTGTCCCTAGGGGTGGAGGTTCCAAAAGCCCACACCAGGCCCAGTCTCTGCTTGGAATTCAAGGATCAGATCTTAGCTACTGCTCCAGCACCATGCCTGCCTGTGGCCATGCTTCCCACCATGCTGATCATAGACTAACACTCTGAAGCCATACGCAAGCCCCCAATTAAAGGCTCCCTGTTTGTTTTTCTCCCTGTTTGTTTGTTTTTCATGACAGGGTTTCTCTGTGAAATAGTCCTGGCTGTCCTGGAACTCATTTTGTAGACCAGGCTGCCCTCTCAAACTCGCAGAGATCCACAGGCCTCTTCCTCCCAAGTGCTGGGATTAAAGGCTTGCACCACCATCACTTGGTCCTCAAATACTTCCTTTTATAATTTGCCTTGGTCATGGGGTTTCATCCCAGCAACAGAAAAGTAACTGAGACCTTTTCGTTTCTATTCCAGTCTATCCCAATCAAGACTGTTCAAAGTTGGTAGTCAGGAGAGGACTTAAGAAGTGCTCCATTTCCCATAAAGCTGCAACCCTAGAGACAGCCAAGGTTCTACAATTCACCATGCCCACAGTGACAACTCTGGGGCAAGGCTGGCCCTCTCCACAGCGCTCCCCAACTTCCCTGAGGTCCTTGGGTCGCAAAGAACAGCTCTTTCCAGATCTTGTATTCCAAGACAGCACTGACCTTGTCTTTCTTCAAAACCTTGTATAGGGCTTACGGGATTCAGCCTGGAGATGCCAACACCAGCTACCAGCACCCAGGAAGGAGCATGGTGGCTTGTTTCTAATGCTTTCACTATTACTTTTCTTGTGTGTCTGTGTGTGAGTATGCGCATGTGAATGCAGGCATAGAATCCTCTGGAGCTAGAGTTCCAGACCATTGTGAGCTGCCTCAGATGTGGGTGCTGGGAATCAAACTCGCATCCTCTGAGAGAACAGCAATGTCGGGTTATTAGTAGGTGTAGCATACTGCAGATCAAGCTTGTCCCAGGCACAATGTTGCCCCTACATCTGCAGCAGACACGCAGGGGTTCAAATAGATTCCATTTCAGACCTTGGCGCCCTTTTTTGAAGTTCTAGGCACCATCATTACAAACTGTATCCTGATACTCTTTCCCGTGTTCAGAGGTGGCCACCAGGAGATGTGTATTGGCTTTGAGGACTTCATTCCTGCCTGGTCATAACCGACTCCCATTCCAGAGACACAGCAATTTTAGCACCCATGCTTGTGCCTGAGGTTGCACATGCCCTAGCCACTCCTGAAACATCACTAAGACTTGACAGGAATACAGTGAGGCTCAGGGTAGAAGACTGCCTACTTACTCATTCAGTCCCTCATTCAACACTGCACTAGTCCAGGAGAAAGAGTGTCGCACAGTGACAAGATGGGGACTATATTCCCCATTCACGGCTATCACTCCAGCTAGCTCACAGCCAGGCACAAAACAGACAGCCAGCAGGTGACCCGAGGCAGGGCTCCTTCCACAAGAACTGCATTTCTCAGGAAAAGCCTGGATATCTTCAGCCACCCAAACACTTTCACTCCCAAAGCATCGATTGGAAACTGTTCTTGAGTCCTGGTTCTCCCACTCACAAGCCACTAAAGCTGGACCCAGGTTTCCTGAACGAAACAAAGACTCCAGCATAGTGTCAAGGTGTCAACTGTCTCACCAGGGGACACTCAGACAGCACAGTTGTCGTCACAAGTCCTGAGATTCCCAGACAAGCTCATCCATTCCACGGATGTTAATCTGTTTCCATTTTTGTCCCTTTGTCTGTTTGTGGTCACCCTGAAGACTGGAGCTGGCCCCACACTGTATGGGTTCCGAGACGTCACAGCCTGCACCCATCCCAACAGTCTACTGAGGATGTACCCATCCCAGTACTGACAGGTAGCAGACATGAGGACAGCCGAGGTAGACGCCAGGCTGGACGCCAGGCTGTCAGACCCGTCTGTGCCTCCGGCCACGCCTTACCTTCCACGTAGGGCAGATTGTTAAACCTGGCAGAAGAAAGCGGGTGCGGGAGAAGGCTCTGAGGATCCACTGACCCACACGCCATGACAAGATGTCCAGCCCTTACTGTTTGTTCCTTAGAACAAGATGGAGCATCTCCATGGTGCGAGGATTCTAGAATTCAGTTGTTTATTCAGGAGTGTCGAGAGCAGGTCTCTGCCCTAGGGTTTGGGGTTTACCCTGCTGAAGCGGCTTCAAGAGCCTGCCACAGCCATGAAGGGAGGCTATGGGAAACCTCCGTGGAACAGTGTTTCTGGGATTCAGCACTGAGCCTGCAACTGTGCCTGGTCCTCTACACCATCCCCAGAGCCTAGCTCTCAGCAATGGCCTTGATGATGCCTCATACCTAGACTGAGCCTGTGACCTTGGCCCTTGTCTGGCTGCTGATAGCACCAGGTGTGTGGTTTCTGACAGTACCTTGTGGTTAGCCTATGAAGCTCCCCTACCATAGTGTTCACCGCAGCTGCCTCTGAGGAGCCCCTAAGAGGCATGGAAACTGAGACTTGATATCGTCCCAAAGTGTACATCTGCTGTTACTGGAGACTTGCTTTTGCCCTCAGGGACTATCCTTAGAAAACAGAGCAGGTGCTGGGGAGGGTGTAGGAAGAGGAGCTGGCTGTGGGGCTTCCGGAGAAGCAGACATTTACAGGCTCAAGTCTTCATCCTCGAGCAGAATAAACGGTGTCTAGTTGAGGTACCTGGTGTCCATGACTGCATCCTGCTTCTGCCAGTGCTGTTGAAGGCACAGGGTGACACTTTTTTCACCTGCTGCTGAGGGAGACAAACTGTATGATCGGTGTAGAGAACTACGTAGTAAAGCAGATGTATGGAGGCCACAAGGGAACTTTGGCTCCTGGAAACAGTCTAGAGGCAGCAGGAGGACACGGCTTCACAGGCGTCTGCGGGCAGCCTCTGTGGAAACTGGCCCTCTGCTGTCCCTGAGAATGGACACTGAATGGCTCCCTAGCACTCGGCAGTCTACTAGCACTAACAGGAAGACTCAGAAATGGAAGGGCGTCTGCTGTGGGATGTTCAAAACAAGCAAAACAAACCTTTCTCTTGGGGATGGATGGTAGAAAATGCAGGAAATGGTGATTCCTACAGCTGGATGCCCTCAACACAGCAGAAAGATACACAAAGTGGAGAGAGAACTCCAAGAAAGAGAAACTCTTTGCCTCTGTGAAAAATACTTTATTTTAAAAAAGATTTATTTTATTTTAATATGTTTTCCTGAACATACATACATACATACACACATATGAAAACTATATACATAGGCAAACATATTCAGGCAAAATTCAGGCAAACACACCCATATATATGTATATACCCCCCCACACACACACTACATGTGTTCTGTTCCCACAGAGACCAGAATAAGGAGACAGAACCCCAGAACCGAAGTTACAGACTGTGATGAGCCACCCTGTGGGTGCAGGAAACTGAGCCTGGGTCCCCTGTAGCAGCAGCCAGTGCTCTAAACTGCTGAGTCATCTCTCCAGCCCTGTCTTTTAAAATACTTACTTCCGAGAAGGAAGATGGCATTTGACCAATAAAATAAAGACAGCATAATAAAAACGAAGCACATTTGTAATCAATGTGCTTCGTTTTTATACATCAATGAAGATGTATAAAATTCTATTTTATGAAAACTTGTTATGTGTGTGTAGTTTTGCCTGCACAGATGTCTGTGTTCCTGGAACCCAAAGAGGGCCAGAGAGGGCATCAGATCTCCTGGGACAGGAGTTGTAGATGGCTGTTAGCTGCCACTATCGGCTGTTATCTGGTCTCTTACTTGGAATCCTCACCTGAGGGGACTCTTTATAGGAAGTCAATCAGACTGCCTCCTGACTCAATTATGCTTATCTATCATCTACTATCTATCTATCTGTCTGTCTGTCTATCTATCATCTATCTATCTATTTATCTATCTATCATCTATCCATTCATCCATCCATCTATCAATCATCTATCATGAATCTATGCATCTGTATCTATTATCTGCTATCTATCTTCTACCATCTATCATGTATCTGTATCTATCAATATCTATCTAGCATGTATCTATCTATGTATCTATCATCTGTTTATCTATCATCTTCTAGTCATCTACCTATCACTATTTATTCTTTTAATCTGGCTTGTTATATACTGAATAAACTCACTCATTCAAAACCCAAAGTATGGCTAAAGTATTGCTCTCCAAACCATATAAAACAGAACTCTAAGAAGAAACAGACAAATCCTTATTTTGTGGTAAGGCTCTCAGAAATCCACAGATTGTGCAGGTGTAAAATACATGAGGTGTTGACAAGATTTGAAGAACACAACTGACAAGCATAGACTAATTAGGTGCAGCTCAAACTGCCAGTGGCCACACAGACCACTCAGATTGGGCAATTAAGCTTCGATGTGTTTTCTAACTCTCTACAGTGAGTGTATCACACTTTTCACAAGCAGTTAAAAGAGAAAAGAAGAAAGGAAGGAAAGATGGGAGGGAGGGAAGGAGGGAACTATCTAGCTAGACAGCTGAGTCTGGCTGTGGACTATCCCAGTCAGCTCCTACATAAGGCATATTTCAACTGTCCCCGGCACTGTGACCACTATACACAGAAGGAAACTGAGGCCACAAGCCCGGGCCCTTATCCCTGTGCCCCAGTACTAGAAACACAGCAGAAACCATGAGCCCTCAAACCAGGTGGGCCTACCTCCCATCTACCCCGCCCCTCAGAATCACCCCCCAAAGAACATGGGGGGGAGAAAAGGGACAGCTCATGCTCATACAGATTTAATCTCTTCTCTTGGTCTTAAATTCCAGAATGTTGCTTCCAAGCTACACACCCTTCTCCTGGCCACTCATGGCCCAGTTATCCATCACATCCATCCCTGCAGGACCCGAGTTCTCCAGGGACCAGTTCATCACCGCCCTGACTCCCATGGAATATGGACATGCAACCTCATTCAATCATCCACCCAGTGCCATTCAGCAGAGGCAAAGCAGGAAGGGAAGGGGTGGAGAAGTCATGGGTCCACTAGGAGCTGCAGCAGCCAGGACAGGAATAAGAGGCAGGAAGCCCTGCAGGGCCCTGGCAGTGCCCCGTGGTTCATTTGCTCCTTGATCCATCTGGTGTATTTGGTGAGGCGAGTGTATACACCTGGATTCTGAGGTTTGACGCAGGCCTTCTCCCAGGATAACACCCCAGCCAGAATCCATCTTCCATCAATTTCACAAGCCAATGGCCCCCCAGGGTCCCCCTAGGCAAAGACAAGGGAGTGATGGCACTCTGCTGGGACCACAGGACCTACAAGGCCCGCCCCCTCAGTTCTGCTTGAGAAAGTCACTCCTCCAGGAGCTCACTAGCTGGGGCCCCTTTGGCTTCTCAGTTGGAGAACTGCAGCCAATGGCAGTCACAGAGAAAAGATGAGAACAGAGCTTGATGAGGGTAATGGGGGAAGAGACTGAGCCTCAGGAAACAGGCCCCCACCCCAGGACACCCTCAGAAAGAGAGTTGCCAGAAGCCCCAGAAACTCACATAGCACAGGCTCTCTCCATAATTGGCAGCACAGATCATGTTCCTCCGGATAAGGTGGATAACTCGGGGATACAAGGAGTTCTGGTGGAAAATATGGTCACACTTCTTGTTGTCCATAATGAATACCTCGGCCTCCTGGAGCTCTGGAGTCAGGGTCAGGTTGTCTGTGAGGAGCATAAGGGATAAGCTGTGGCCCCCCAGTCCCTCCACCCAGCCCTGACTCAGCCCTGAAAGTCAGCCGAGCTCTCCTCTACCACGCCTGTGCGACCTCCCTTCCCAAGGTCCTTCCCGGCAGTGTAGACCTGGCACAGAGAGCCCCTCACCATGCAAGGCTTTGGTTCAGGAGCCCCCTCTAGAGGAAGTTTTGCTGCTGAACCCAGAAGGCTCCCAAGTCCCAGCACAGCTGCTCACAACTTGGGAGCCCAGCCCTGTGATTTTTCTTTCCACAGCATTTGTTCCCTTAGTTCCAACTAACAGTCGCTTCTCTATGCGTTTCCAGTCACCTGTCTACTCAGAGTTCAACTCAGATCCCCTGAGCTTGACCTCAGCATTCTCTGACAAGATCTTTGCCTTGCTCAGTTGGTTTTTTAAAGTCTCAAACAGCGTGAAACGTATGTACCTGAGTCTGGCTTTGAACTCAGCATTCCCTGGCTCCACCTCCCTACTGCTGGTGTTGTAGGTGGCACTCATCAATATACCTGGCTTCTTCAACACTTTCTTTGTCAGCCTCTGTACCACCCACCCCCATCTCCTACTCGGTGAGATTGAGGCAGGGCAAGCATTCCGATGCCAAGTACTCGGAGCATGGCAGCTGCTTCAGCTGTGGCCAGGGAGAACCAGAGGGGAGGGAGGGAGGGGAGGGAGGGAGGGAGAGGAGGAGGGAGAGAGGGGAAGGAGGGAGAGAGAGGGGGAGGGGAGGGGAGAGGAGGGAGAGAAAGGGGGAGGGGGAGGGAGGGAGGTTCCTGACAACTTCCTAGCTCTGAGTTTCTGTAAGAGGCAGGTAACACTGCCCATTCAGCCCAAGCAGTGTTGTTAGCCTGACTACAGTGCCTCTGTGAACTGTGACAATGAGTACCATATGAGGAGAGCTTAGCACACTCCAAACCATGCGCTGGAGACCGCAGCCGTAGCCTTCACAAAGGTGCCACAAGGGATGGGACGATAAAGACCCAAAGGGACATCGCCAAAGCCATCTAACTCACCTGAGGAGTACTGCTTAATCTTGCCCCAGCCGGTCACCCAGCACTGGGTCCCAACCTTCAAGCTGAAGTTGTGCTTTGGGAGACAGATGGGCTGCACATACTTGCTGAAGGTGACAGGAGTCTTAAGACGGACAAGGGCAATATCACTTCTGATGAAGTTCCAGCCCCAGTAATTGGGATGCACAATGATGTCACCCACAGGAATCTTCAGGGTCCCAGAAGAGCTGCTGGGCTGCAGCTTGCTGCTACCCAGTATCACTGAGTATTCTTTGTTGCTATGGGAGATATAGAAGCCCACCTGGCAGACATCAGTTTCCCCACAGCCATGCACCTGCCTCCTCCCAGGACCCTTTTCTGTCCCTGAAGTCCTGTCTGACACACTCTGTCCACTCACTCTGGATTGATCCAGCCTGGGGCCCTTTCATTCACAGACCCATTGAGGCAAGTGTGTGGGTGTCACTCCTGGGGTGGGCTTTGGCTTTTCCTCTCGCCCAGCTTAGGATACAGTCTTTGTTGCTTGGGGACCCCAGCATAGTCCTCAGATCTTGTAAGATCTTGCACCTAGCCCTTCCCCTACGCTGGGCGCCTCCTCCCTCTCTCCCTTGTTGCTGTCTCCTCCATCATTTCCCAGGAGCACTGAGGAAGCTGGGCCAGGCCCACAGTAGCTCTAGGCCTTTAGATCCTGGAACCATGGGGGCACACTCACCTCTGGAAGCAGTGAGCTGCAGAAATCACCCAGATGAGATCAATGAGGGCCCCTCCACACACGTGCTTATTTTCCATGCGAAGACTCACTTCCCAGGGCCAATGGCGGATCTCCTCCAAGTTGTCTGGCCACCAGGGCTTGCCACAAACTTCAAACAAGCAATGCAGAGAGCACAGTGTCCATGGAGAGGAAAATCAGAATGGCTAGTAACAAGTCGCCCTCCGGGATCAAGTTGGCAAGGCTATACCATCAGGGACTTCTCGTTTCAAAGGGAATAGACGAGGGGCAGAGGACAGTGGACCCCAAGGGCACTGAACTAGACAAAATGCGACTGCTACAGAGATGACAGCATGAAGACAGAGAGACCCCACAGCTGGAGAGTGAGAATGAGACCCACAGAGGGCCACCATGGCCAATGTCAAAACAGTGCAGAGACAGCAGGAGTTCCAAGAAAAATGCTGGGCACTGGTGGTGCACGCCTTTAATCCCAGCACTTGGGAGGCAGAGGCAGGTGGATCTCTGTGAGTTCGAGGCCAGCCTGGTATACAGAGTGAGCTCCAGGACAGGCTCCAAAGCTACACAGAGAAACCCTGTCTTGAAAGACAAAACAAAACAAAAATCCAGTTTCAAGAAAAATGCTTTTCTTGCATTGAACTATGTTTCTGAAACATAGTTTCAGATATGGCCACATATCTTTGATGCAAAAAGTCCCACACTGGTCAGAGTGGAAAAAAATAGCCATGAATTTGTCTATGAGAGGTCTTTACCCTAAGCAGTCTAGAGCCCACAGTTACTAGTTTGCCTAATGGTCTACCAGCCAAGGTGAATGAATGGATGGACGAACAAAGGTGCAGATATTCTAAGTAAAGTGTGATTTGCTGCCAGGTGTGGTGGTGCACACCTCTAATTCCAGCACTCGGGAGGCAGAGGCAAGCTGATCTCTGTTGAAGCTAGCCTGGTCGACACAGTGAGTTCCAGGACAGCCAGGGCTATGTAGAGAGATCCTGTTTCTAATAAAAAATAAAATAATAAAAATAAAAACAAAAGATAAAGAAGAGAAAGAAAACCTCAAAACATTTATGAAAAGAAAGGATGGGTAAGGGTAAAGAATATGACAAAGCAAAATTACAAACATGTTTGAAAGTGTTTTAAAACTGCTAACATACTAACTTTAAAAATTAGCAAGGGACTAGAGAGATGACTCCACAGTTAAGAGCATTTGCTGCTCTCCCAGAGACCCAGGCTTGGTTCTCAGCACTAACATATTGACTCACAATCATCTGTAACTCTAGTTCCAGAAGATTTGGCACATACATACACACAGGCAAACACTCAAGCACACAAAATTAGGATTAACAAAAACAGTTTTATATCCAAACAAAAACATCTTTAGGGGCTCGTAACAAAACTGTAGGAAAGGCTCCAAGTAGCTCTGCATTGCCATGGAAGACCCAGGTGCTCTTTCTTCTAAATAGTCAGGGCTGTATCCTGAGAGCTACATGCGTTGTTTAGGACATACCCAACATTTGCTTCCTATCAAGTCAAAATGCAATTTAGGCAGACACATTCAGAACTTTCCCAGGAACTTTCCCTGCAGTGGGGACCCATTGACTCACCTGCTTGGTCGTTCCTTTCATCACCTGAAGGAGAAAAGGAGGACACACATGAAGTGATAACTCGTAGTGTGCTGGCAGGAAAGGGGTTCACTGTTTATTAAATAGTCCACCAATTCGTTCACCGAACCATCCCTGATCTGCTGCTGCGACTAGTCTGAGGTCACAGGCTGGGGACAACCGTCAGACAGGGCCTGTCTGTGGACACATGCTGCCCAGCTGCTGAGACAGCAGACACATTACCACCGTGTGACACCAGGAAGAAGGCCAGGCCAGAGAGCTCAGGTGATTCCAGACGGTGTAAGAAACAGCTGAGAGGAGCTAAACAAATAAAATTGATAAAAAAAATTCCTCCAGGGAGAAACACAATAGTATATTCCAGAGCCTTTGGAGAATGAAAGTGATGTCTGTGGTGGAAAAGAAATATGTTAAAAAAAAAAAGTAAATAATGTCTGGATACAGGAATCAGAGGCCAACCCGAGAGGGTCCCGTGAACAGGCTGAGCCGCCCTGGGAAGCCAATGGAGATGTGGATCTTATGGACTGTATTATGAAGGCAGCAGGGTAGAGACGGGAAAGTGACGGCACAGATGGCGGTGAGATCTCCACGGGGTCTCTGCAGAACTCAGGTAAGCGGTGCCGGACTCTGAGAGAGGCTCTGGGAACAGATGTGAGGAGCTTGGCGGGTGACTGAGGACATAGCTTAGTGTAAAATGGCACTGGCTTCTGAGCTCAGAGAAGGGTTGGCTGTCATTCACGTGGCTGACATAGACAATGAAGTAAGGCAGTTTTCCAGGAATATGAGTGTCTGGTGCGGACACCAAGGAAGTGAGGTGCTCCAGGATGGTTTCCGGGACGCGGTCCAGCAGGTGGGTGCACCTTCGGGGCATTGCTTTATGAGGTGGCATGACATAACTGCAGCCCAGTGCCTGGGGCAAGGGGCATAACTGCCACTCGTGCCTGGGGTAACTGCGTTCACCCAGGGAGCAGAGAAGACGGAAGAGGCAAGGAACCAAACAGCACCTTCAGAGTTGGTGGTCTGATGCCGGCACAGAGGGGAGGGACGCTCCTGAAGCAAGGGTCAGGACTCCAGGGAAGGTGGTCTGTGTGTGCCTGTAATCGCAGCACTTGGGAGGTGGAGACCCGAGGCTCTGCACTTCAAGGCTGTCCTCAGCCACCAGGAAAGATCAAGGCTACCCTAGAGTTAGAGACCTTGCGCCCTCCCCAAGTAAAAAGAGAAAAAAAAAGGGGGAAGATATGGGGAAAGAGCCACAGAAATAATAAAAAAAGAGAGAACAGTAAAAAAAAAAAAACAACCAAACAAAACCAGGAGTAATAAGGACACGTCAGGAATGCGCTGAGGATTACATGGGAAATCGAGTGCCCGGAGGGGGCGGGGGCATGAAGCGATAGTGACTCTTGGGGAAGGCTGGCAGCACTGGGAGGGGTGGTGGAAGAAAAGCAATGAGCCCACTTGGACGATGAGCATGACGGATGTGAGCAGCGCCTCTCGCCTAGGGAGAGCCGTGCTCCAGCCGCGCTCTGCTCTGGAGGCATGCTCTCCCTGGCAAAGAAGTGGCTATGGGTAGTGTTTCAGAGCAGTCAGATTTGGAGAAATCGCTGGGGTCTGGGGACGGAGTCTGAAGAGACAGCACTCACGGGGAGAAGCCAACGTTTAGAACATCATCCTTTGGCGTTGCGGAAGGCACCTGGGCACAGAGGGAGAGGCCAGGGGTGCGCCTGCTGCTGTCTCCAGGAGACCACAAGGCATTTGTGACCTGAGGCACCTCGGAGTGGGTAGCAGAAGAGAGGTGACAGCAAGGTGGGGTTGGCGCACCAAGTTCCAAATGGCTGGAAAGGAATAGCCAACCTGAGCAAGACTGGAGGGGAGAGGACACAGACAGGACAACAGAGACGGTGCCTGCCTCACCTAAGTTTGAAGGCGGAAGCAGCAACAGCAGTGTCACAAAACAGGTTAGGACCCAGTGCCTTAAGGATCCGGGGTAAGAGCCCAGGCCACACAACGACGGAGCCATGAAGATGGAGCCATGGGCGGCGGAGACAGCGCCAGTGTGCTGCCACGTGCCCACACCCCGTACGTGATGACGTCTTAGACACGTGATGTGATGGCACCAAGAGCCTGACCACGCCTCTTCAGGGTTCTCACACTTGGACCCAATCTGGTCCTTAAGATGACTTCAGATCCCTTGGCTGGGACTGGGTCTCAGGTTACAGATCTACGAAAGCTCCCCCAGTGCTTTGAGAGTGTGGTGGTGCATCCAGACCCTAATCTGTGAAACCCCTGGGCTGGAACCCGAACCGCATCTTTATAGCCTCAGGCTATACTCTCGTTCTCTGGACCTACTACACAAGGAGTTTCATGGTCAGTTTCGACATGGACGGGGAAAGCCCAAGAACAGAAAACGACAATATCGGTAGGGAAAGTGGTTTTGAGAAAGCAATGGCTGAATTGGATCTAAGACTAAACCAAGGAGGAGGCAGGGCTGGGGACCGGATGCTGAGTAAAGAAAGCAGCTGTCCTCTAGACCAGCAAGGTGAAGTATTGTCGCCGCTGAAAAGCAGGGCCTGTTTGTGCCTGTTTGTGCCTGACCTTGGACGTAAACCGGTTTTTTCATGGAGGGATGAGCTCTCTGGGTCTTCAGAGCCTAGCGGAGATTTCGAGATGACCACCAAAATTCCTGTTTTCTTTGTTTAGTTCCAGGTACCCAACAGAACTCTAGCCTGGCATCTAAGCAGGATTTCTGTGTGTTTTTGAGACAGGGTTTCTTTGTGTAACAGCCCTGGCTGTCCTGGAACTCACTCTGTAGACCAGGCTGGCCTTGAACTCACAGAGATCTGACTGCCTCTGCCTTTGAAGTACTAAAGGTGTGAGTCACCATCACCACCAGGCCAACATTTTATTTTATTTTATTTTATTTTATTTTATTTTATTTTATAAGGGCAGTGGTAGTGCTAACCTGTAATCCCAGCACTGGAGAGGCAAAGGCAGGCAGATCTCTGAGTTTGAGGCCAGCCTGTTTAAAGAGTTCCAGGAAGCCAGGACTGTTACACAGAGAAACCCTGTATTGAACAAAAATTTTTTAGTATAATTTTATTTTTTACATGTGTGTTTTGTTGTCATATATGTCTGTATACCACAGTATGTGCCTGATGCCCACAGAAGCCAGATTCCCCTAGGGCTGGAGTCTCAGATGGTGAGAAGCCACCATGTGGGTTCTGTGAATCAAACTTGGTTCCTATGAAAGGAAGCTCTTCACTACTAAACCATTTCTCCAGCCCCCGGCTTGGCATTAACATGAGTCTGAATGAGTAATCTGTGCCACTTACCTGTCAAGGTAGGCAAGAGAAGGTTGCCCTTCTGCCAGCATTTGGCTCCCAAAGTTATGTCCCCACAGCAGCCGCACCGGGGAATGTTCTAGAAGCCATCATCAAGCTCTGGTTCAGACCTCCAGGATCGAAAACTTCTTTGGTGAGATCAATAAAGTGGATCGTATTTCTTTTTAGACAGGGTTCCTCTCTGTGTAACCTTGGCTGACTTTGGACTTGTGGTAATCCTCCTGCCTCTGCCTCCCAAGTGCTAGGATTGCAGGCATGTCTGATGACTCCTGGCCGTAATGCCCGATTTTTAACAAGCCCTTGGAGCATGCTCACACAGGTGAGGGATGAACCAGGAGACTAAGAGTGGAGCTGTCTGATGGGGGAAGAAAAGCTATCTGTTGACACAGAATAGCTTGCCGTAGAAGACAGAGTTAAGCTCGCATTGTTAGTCTATGAAGAGCCAGTGGTTTCTGGAGGGTGGAGGTGATTTGGAGTTTTGCTGTTGTTTTGACACAGCACCTCAGGTATCCCAAGCTAGCCTCAGACTCAATTTGTAGCAAAGGAGCAACGGATTGTCCTTGCCTCCACCTTCCAAGAGGTGAGGATACAGACGAACGCCACCTCGTGTATTCAGGGTACAGTGGTTTCTTAAAGTAACTGATGATGTATGTGTCCATTAAGAGGTGGATCTGACAGACTACATAGTGATACCCTGTCTCTAAAAGAAAAACAACAAAAAAAGTAGTGAGGGGCTTGATATAAACTGTCAGGTTCCATCGTCCTTTGGCAGTGGTTGGAACTGAATGCCCACTGAGGCCATGGAGAACAGAGGCTGAAAGACAGAGGGTGGGGGCGGGGGGATTGGAGGAGGCTGGTGAGCAGCCACACCCTGTAGGAGGAAGCTGTATGGAACATACTGACTCTCTCCTAAAACCCTCCTGGCCTTGACCTTTGGAATTAAAGTCAGATGAACAGCAAGAGGGGAGAGAGGAGAGAGAGAGAGAGAGAGAGAGAGAGAGAGAGAGAGAGAGAGGAGAGAGAGAGGTGGGGGAGGGAGGGAGGGAGGGAGGGGAAGGGACGAAGGAAGGGAGGAAGGAGGAAGGGGAGGGAGGAAGGAAGGAAGGGAGGAAGGAAGGGAGGAAGGAAGAAGGGAGGGAGGGAGGAAGGAAGGAAGGAAGGGAGGAAGGGAGGGAGGAAGGGAGGGAGGAAGGAAGGGAGGAAGGGAGGGAGGAAGGAAGGAAGGAAGGGAGGAAGGGAGAGAGAGAAAGGCTGTTTCCCAGGCCCCAACTTCGTTCTCGCTCCCAGTCTCTGCCTCCCCTGAGTCCCTGCTCCCAGCTCAGCTAAAGCTCCCACCCAGATGCTGATCACTGATAACTGCACCGGGCACACAGGGAGGGGGCTGCCTGCCAAAGCTACCTGTCTAGACTCAGGTCTGAGCTAGCCCAGCCTCATCTCTTCTTTGCTTTAATACAAACTGCAAGGAACTTCCCTCGACAAATGGAGCCCAGTTGTCCGGGCAGCCAACTATCCCAGGTGAGCAGAGGTCAGGACACACAGGACATTCTCCAAACATTTATTCAGCTCGGATTTGAAATCTCCCCACTCCAAAACTGCCTCAGTACAACTCGGTGACCCTGGATGTGACCACCGGGAAAATGAGGAAGGGGGTGCCAGGTAGGACTGTCCTCTCATGAGGAAGAGGTTGAGCACTCACCGACAGACCCCCCCCCCCACCAATGTAGTACAGGGGAATTTCTGTCAGCCTAAGATACTCAAATCCCAGCTTCATACCGCTGCAAGGAGCTGGCATCGTTCCCCTTTTCCTCCCTCCCCCCCTTCCAGCAGTCACCGAGCTGTGTAATGCAAAGGGAGCCAGCCTAGTGCTAGTCCCACCAATGATGGTCTCTCTTCTCGGCAGATGTCCTCCAAATGTTATGAGTCATTGTACTCCACCTAGCTGTCAAGCTGGCCCCCTGGTTAGGGTCAGTTCACTCTCCTTCCCACCAGATAGAGAACAACCAGGTATGGGTATGTCTGAGACAAGTGACCAGAACACCAGTCAGGACACTTTGCAGTTCCCAGTCACCCTGCCACAGTTCTCTATGGCTCTCCCCAGGGCAATGGATGCTGCCTGGAATCTGAAGAAAGGTCAGAGAGATTGGAGAAGAGGTCTAGTGGGAGACTTAAAACCAGCAGGAAGACAGTTAGGCTAAGGAGGTCACAGCATTACCAAGATGACCAGCTGCAGCATCAGAGACAGGTATAGGACCAAGACTCCCCCGGAATCCATACAGGAAGCCTGACTTAAAATGTCTTTGACCCATTCGTTGTATTCAGCGATGTCTGTGTAAACTGAGGGAACGGTGTTGCCACCACAGCTGATGCCCCAGCTCACAATCCCCACCTGGATCCATGTGTTGTCAGATTCACAGACAAGGGGGCTCCCAGAGTCTCCCTGGAGAAGAGGAGAAAGAAACAATTGTAGGGATGGACAAGGGAGCGGGCTGACTGCATTGCAAGGCGCAGGGAGGAGGTCCTCAGGCACCCAGAGGCTCTTCCAAGCCTGGACTCTTTTGTTTTGTTTTGTTTTGTTTTGTTTTGAGACAGGGTTTCTCTGTGTAACAGTCCTGGCTGTCCTGGAACTCACTCTGTAGACCAGGCTGGCCTCAAACTGCCTGCCACCTACCTCTGCCTCTTGAATGCTAGGATTAAAGGTGTGAGCCACCACACCCAGCCCTAGATTCTTTTAACGAATGAGATTTTAACTGATGAAAAGCTCATGTGAAACTTCAACATCCTCTGGGCAATGATCCACCTTCTCTGATCATCAGGCACATAGACACAGACGCAGAGTCAGTTCGGCCCAGGTGAGCAGTGAGATATGGGAATTTGCCTTGGCAGTCCCTAATCTACAGATAACAAACCCTTTCTGGCGAACGTCTAAGCCTGTCGTAACTTATAACCCTGCAATCGTGGTAGCCCTGGCTTCTAGAGTATGTAGCCTGCAGCCTGCAGAGCCCACTCCAGCGTCAGGTAGACTGGTCAGTCTTGAGTCTTCAAAAGCATTAAATACTTTGATCAGCATCATTGCACGGAGGTACCGGGATCCTTATCACAGCCTTAGAAACCCTGCCCTAACCTCACTGAGTAACCTCCATTGGTCAGCTGCACTGCCTTGAAGAGCCCACCACACATCAAATTTCCACTTCCAGTACAATTCTGCATGGCCTTGCCCCACCCTAAATCCAAAGCTCTACAACCAGCCACCTCAAACACACCTCCCTCACCACCTCAAGCCCAGGCACCACCCACCCAAGGGAGTCACTTATCTAGAAGGTGACTTTCACCATGTTCATCCAGCTTCACCTCCTAGTCCTGGCTGGGCCAGTCTAGAAATTTGACATAGCACTCCAGGGTGCATATATTCCAACTCTAACCACTTGTTTTTTGTTTTGTTGTTTGCTGTTGTTTTTAAGGTAGGCTCTTCCTGTGTAGCCCTGGCCATCCTGAAACTTGATTTGTAGACCACACTGGCCCCAAACTCAGAGATCCACCTGCCTCTGCCTCCTGGATGCTGGGATTAAAGGATGTGCCACCAGGTCCCACTCCAACTCTAACCACACGTATGACCACACTTGCTATCCTGCTGCTCCAAATGTATACAAAACTTTCAGCATAAGACCTCTGGACCCTTATACATGTCTGTGCTCCATCTTTACAATGATATCCTCCCCTATCCAAGAAATTCAAATGTGCATCCACTAATACACCAGACCCCTTCTCGAGAGTGCAGCCTTATGCAGAGGGGAGAAATGACCCTGGGGTCCTGAGGTACTCACAGATCTTCAATTTATCTCCTTTGATTTTGCCTTCCAGAGATTTATAACATCTGTGTAGCAAGGCTGTGATATGGGTTAACTAAGATAACAAAGGCAAATGCTCATATCAGCATGGTTGAGTGCCACATAAAACACTGGGCAAAACATTGTTTGCATTGTCACCCTCAGATTCAATGCTTTAGCAGGGTCCCTTTTAGAAGGACCAGGCCAGGCCAACTCACGGGAAACATGAGGACTCACTCCATAAACTTTAACTAAGGGGTTTGTACCAGATGTAGCAGTGTGGCACAGTGACTCACATTTCTATCCCAGGGTCAGAAGGCAGGGGCAAGAGGATCTCTCAGTCTGAGGCCAGCCTGATCTACATAGTGAGTTCCAGGGCCACACAGTGAAACCCCGTCTAAAAAAGGAGGTGGTGATGGCAGATAACTCAAGCCTTTGAGGTGACAACCGAAACATAACTAACTAACCCAGCAAGAGCTCTGTCCCGAGTCATGGAGGCCGCAGATCATCCCTTTCATCACTAGGGCTTCTCTTGTTTTCAGCTGTGTCTGGAGCAGCTGATTACAGTGCTTCCGGAGAAGAATGCTTTCCTGGGCTTCCTGAAGGAGAACTGGAGCGAACACTGTATCTGCAGAAAAACAATGTAGGATCCGAAGATGGCAAGAGCTATCAGCATCCTTCTGGTGCCACTGAGTCTGTGAATATACAGTTGATCCCTTAAGGCAGACAGGCCATGGGGGCTGCGGAGATGGCTTAGGGGTTAAGAGCACTGGTTGCTCTTCTAGAGGACCCTGGTTCAATTCCCAGCACCCATTTGGAAGTTCATAACTATCTGTAGCTCCAGTTCCAGGGGGATATGGCACCCTCACATAGACATATATGCAGTCAAAATACTAATATACATAAAATAAGTCATGAAAGGAAGATTTAAAATGTTTACTTAAGAAACAGGCCATGCACTGGACACCTGTCCCATAGGAAACAGACAAGAAAAATTTTGCCAGCTAGAAAATGACAACCAAGCATCCACCAGAGTCCTTGTGGTCCTAGGGTCAAAGGTCCTGTGCTCTGCTCAGCCCAGGAAGGAGGAAGCTCAACACATTGGGGGAAGAACAGCTCAAACTGGTCAGTGTCACATTACCCCGGCCCAAATCTAACTTTGACAGAAATCATCACGCCTGTCACCCAAGCACCCAGGTCCTGACACAAAAAATGAGAAGCCTGACACAGTTGCAGTGCAGTCGGCTGTCCACATGTTCTCTCTCCTGGCCAGCCAGCTAGAAGCTCGCCCCTGCCCTTGCAGACCAACCCCAGAGCTCTAGACTGTCCCACGTTTGCATGCCACCGGCCTGACTCACCATTTTCACTCTGGTGGCTCCAGCCGGTCACCCAGCACAATGTCCCATTCTTCACTTGGAAGGGCTTCCTAGGGAGGCACACGGGCTGGATAAATGAGGAGTAGTTCACAGGGGAGGCCAGCAGAGCAAGAGCAATGTCGCTCCGCATGGTTTGAAGGTCAAAACTGGAAGGGTAAATGATGTCCTTTACTGGGATCAGAGTCCCATTTCCAGACTCAGGATTCAACGTATTGTCTCCCAGCATCACCGCATATTCCTCCTGGCTGCAAGGAAAGCACATGACCCTTGTAGAGGTCCTCAGGGGCTTACACACCGCCTCCACACATGGTACTTGCTTCTCAGCCTAGTGTTGTATGGATGGAGACTTGCTAAAAGTGAAGATGTTCAGGTGTCACTTGAGACTAGACAAGAATCCTGGACTGTCATTCTTTTTACAGATGAGGAGGAGGTGTGTGTGTGTGTGTGTGTGTGTGTGTGTGTGTGTGTGTGTGTGTGTGTGTGTGTCTTTGCTGTGCTGTAAACCAGGCTGGCCTCAAACTCATAGAGATTCACCTGCCTATGCTTCCCGAGTGCTGGGATTAATGGTGTGTGCCACCACTACCCAGCTAAAAAAAAATCTTGATATGGGGACAGGACACAGCTGCATCAAGGGCCCCAAACCAGGTCCCCAACCACTTACTCATATATACAGTGGGCCGCAGTCAGCACCCACTGACGGTGGATGAGGGAGCCTCCACATATATGCTGGTTTCTGCTCTGCAGGCTCACCTGCCAAGGCCACTTCCTCACTGCGGACGAGCGTCCGTGACTGAACTCCATAATTCTATGGCCACATGGTTCTGAAGAGAGATTAAAAGTGAAGCCATTACGCCACACCGCCATCCATTCCATACACAGTCCTCTGGAAGGGACTATCTCTCCAGTCCTCCAGGGGCAGGAGCTGGCCCCGCCTCCCCAGTTGCACTGGATTGCCCTTTGACCTCCCCGACAGGCCTGTAGAGCCCTGGCACCAGTAGCAGTACCTGGAGAAAACGGTCTTCCTGGAGAGCTGCTACTAGATTTCAAGGCACCGTGGGCTGTGGTCGGTGAAGGACTCCCTGATCCTGGAGTCCCAGTAGGGTCTGGAGACACTGGAACTGCCGAAGGATCTGAAATACTCAGGGGTTTTATGTGGTTCCGCTGTGCTGAGGTCTCTGGACCTGTGGGCATCACTCTGGAATCCTCCCCGGGTCTGTAAGTACCACCTAAGGACCAGGCCAACAGGAAAAGCGCGGGCTGAGCCGTGCCTGCGCCTGCGCAGCTGTTTGCTTGCTGGCCTGACTGCCCAACAGCACCAGTACCGCCACCAACGCCAACACCATCTCCATGGCCACGCCCACCCACACCAAGCCCCACGCAGCCACACCTCCGCCACTGCTACCACCCGGGGCCCCTGTCCCCAGCCAAGGCCTCACTGAACAGAGGCTGAAGAAGCTGAAGCCAGGCCAGGAGGGCCAGGAAGCCGCCCCTGTCACCCCCGAGGAAGCTGCCCATCCAGGCCTTGGGCTCAGGCAATCTCTCTCCTGGCACCCCCGCCTCCCAGCAGTGGCTCGTGCAGGTGCCTTTGTGTGGATAGGATGGCTGTGTGCTTGTGTGCGGCTGTGTGCGTGTGTGCGGCTGTGTGTGTGCAAGTCCAGAGCATCTCCCTGAGACGTCTGATCCTGACTCATTCACCAAAATGCTAGCTGGGCAGCACTGGAAGAGGCTTGGCAGGCATTCTACCCCTTACCAATATTAAACAAGAAGGGGGCCAGAGCCCTTGCTGCTCTTGCAGAAGACCCAGATTTGGTTCCCAGAGCCCCATGGTGACTCACAGCCACTCATAACTCCAGTTCCAGAGGATCCAGCCTCTGTGGGCACCAGGAACGCTCAAGGTGAGTACACGCACGCACGCACGCACGCACGCACGCACACACGGGCATACACACATGAAGACAAAATTCTCAAACACAAAAATAAAAAAATAATGTTTAAAAAACATTAAATAAGAAGACTCCCCAGTCCCAGACAACCTAACTTCCTAACAGCTTGATAATTTCCTTTTTAACCTCTGGTGGTAAAATAAGACCATATACAAAGCCACAGAAATACACAACTCTGGTAATCAATGTAAAACGTCTCTGCATGTGTCTACAATCCAGGTCAGGACATAGGAGCCCCTCCATGTGCCTTCCATGTCACAAGCAGAGGCTGTGTTCATTAATCTTACTTTCATGTGATTAGTCAGTTGTGATTTCTGTAGTCTTCACCCCCAAACATGCTTCCCCGCATGCTGTGCCTGAGTCTGGAAGGGCTGTTTCGCACTCATGTATCTCTAAGAGATGCTTAAGACTGAACTTCCTCCTTCTGCCCCTCACCCTTCTGTGTAGAAGACCCTGGATTGTTTGGCCTGTAGAGTCTTCTGCAGTCTAGACGCCTTGATTTGCACTCATCCTTATTCTTTATTCCTGCAAGGCCACAGTGGGGCCAGATAACACTCGAACTCATCCTTATTCTTCTCTGTTTCCTGCATGTCCACAGTGGGACCTGACTCTCTGTCAACCAGATAACGAGTGCTATATTCTATTAGGAGGCACACAATGTCTACATGGTTTTCTTTTTTAATTTTTATTTTATGTGCACGAGTGTCTTGCCTGCCTGTATGTAAGTGTATTGCATGTGCGCCTAGAAGCCAGGTGAGGCACCAGGTCCCCTGGAACTGGAGTTATGGATGTCATGTGAGCACTGGGAACTGAACTGGGATCCTCTGGAAGAGCAGTAAGTGCCCTTAACTGCTGAGCCTTCTCTCCAGCCCCACCACACACTTTTCTTTTGTGACTTTACAAATGGTTTGATGATTTTGCCTAGAAACACTAATCCCTTGGGGGTGTTGAAAAACAGTGATCTCATAATTGTAGCATTTTTCTTTTGCTCGTCAGTTGGGGGAAGTTTTATCAAGAGCTTGGATATTAACACATTTTACAGGCTTTAAAGAATTGCAACTGTCGTTCCTACTGTGGTGGATTAGAAAACTCAGTCACAACATTTTGCATCTTTACAAACCACGAAATGGAATTCATCCAGGTGTGGTAGCTCGTGCTATGTTCAATGCCAGCCATTAAAAGTGAGAGGCAGAAGCCGAGCGGTGGTGGCGCACGGCATTAATCCCAGCACTCGGGAGGCAGAGGCAGGTGGATCTCTGTGAGTTGGAGGCCGGGCTGGACCAACAGCCTCCAAAACAAAACAGAGAAACCCTGTCTCGTAAAACCAAAAAAAAAAAAAAAAAAAAAGTGAGAGGCAGTAAAAAGGCCGGCTGGGCTATATAGTGAGTTCAAGGCTTCCCAGTGCTAAAACGTAAGACCTTGCCTCATTCCCCCACCCTTGTTGAAGCTAAGATGACTTTGTGATCGTTTTCTACCAACAGAAGCAAAACTGTGCGACTTCTGAGCTTAGACGTTCAGAGCCCTTCAAGTGTCTGCCTTCACCCATTCAGATGTTGTCCCGAGGGCCCTGGTCCTTCTGGAGGATGAGCCTTCTCAAGGGAACAGAAGCATCCAGACCAAACATCCAGGACACTGTGCTATGCTTTATGAAGACATCATAGGCACGAGTTAGCAAATACTGAGCCATTGCTCTTATGGGAAACCTGGGCTTATGCGCCTGTGAACCTCTGCTCACAGTGTTCTCAGTCAGCATGTCTGAGTGTGTCCTAAACAGCTCATCGCATCCCAGCCCACAGCACTTAAACCCGTGCTTAAGGAAAGCTGTCCCAAGAAAACTTCTCCACCACGTAGCTTTCTTGCACCTAGGAATGCTAGGCAGCATCTCAGATTATTGTTGAGGTTCTTTGAAACTGAAAGAAAAATACCAGTAAAAACCACAACTATGTAAGAGAAATGTGGCGGTAAACACTTGTTTAAATGAGAGCCCAAGGAAGCAGGGAAATCATCCTGCTATTCAGCTTTTTCGGGGAGCATGCGTACCAGATGTCTCAATATTTCCACTGCTCCGTGAATAGCCACAACCAGACGTTGAGCATGGAGGGGCACATTGCACAGTATGAGGCCATTCAGTCTGGGATGCGGTGGGTCCCTCAAACTCTTCCTGAACCTTGCGTTATTCCATTTTCTCCAAGCATGGTTCCTGGAAGCAGTCTTGACAGCGATGAGTGCAGTGGGCTGGGGAGCAGTGAGCTGTCACTGAGAGACACCCCGTAAGAGAGCAAGCACGGCAAGACTGGAAACTCAGAGGGGCTGAGCTACAAGCAGCTATGGTGGCCCTTCCAAGCCTTACCAAATTAAAGGGCTGGGCCTTGCCCGCTCTCTCTGCATACCAATGATTTTCTCTGGGCTGAGCCTGACAGATGTTATCTTAGGGAGTGAGTTCCTGGCAGCTCCCGGTGCTTTTTCTGAGAGGCCAACAATGGGTCAGTTTCTCAGAAGTGGAAGCAGGTGTGACATCCAGCATACTGCCGCTCCACACAGAGTGCCCGTTCTGACCAGTCTGTGACTCGTTCAGTTAGGGTCCCACTGATTCTTCTTTATTTTTATTTTCCTTTATGTGTGTGAGTGTTTTGGCTGCCTGGGCCCATGGAGGTCAAAAGAAGTCATCAGATCCCTTGGAATTGGATTTTTAAGGATGGTTTTGAGCCACCATGTAGTTGCTGGGAACAGAACCCAGGTCTTTTTTCGAGAGCAACTTAACCACTGAGTCCTGACTCTAGTGGTCTTTAGTGGTGATCACACTGCTGTGTGGAATAGTGGGAAATATCAGGTTGCTTTTAGGCATTTCCTACTCTCACCTGTAGACTTTTTCAAGCCTTCTCTCTGGGCAAGCCTAAGGGAAATGGTGTTTCAAGGTCACAAAATCTGGCCACTAGGAAAGGTCATCTGAATCTATATATCTTGGCCTTTTTACCAAGAAACTGCAGGCACTATTTGTATGTTTTGTTTTGCTTTTTGTAGAACTCATTGTCATTTTCTTCCCTCGCCTCCTCCTTTCCCTGCATCACCTCTTTTTATTTTTTTAGAACAACTCAGCAAAATAAAATTCCAGTTTATTGCCGGGCGTTGGTGGCGCACGCCTTTAATCCCAGCACTCGGGAGGCAGAGGCAGGCGGATCTCTGTGAGTTCAAGGCTAGCCTGGTCTACAGAGTGAGTTCCAGGACAGCCTCCAAAACAATACAGAGAAACCCTGTCTCGAAAAACCAAAAAAAAAAAAAATTCCAGTTTATTGTTGGACATTGCTTCACACATACATCAAACAGGCCAAAAAACCAAAATAAAATAAAATAAAACAGCAACTGCATAGACAAAAGAAAAAGGAAGAAAAAAAGGAAACCTTTTATCTTTGGCCTTTTTAACCATCTCTTACAAATCAACTACTTATAGTACAGCTAGGTACATACACAAAAGTTACTGGAATGCTCGGAATAAGATTTTTGTTTTTTTTTCTCCTTTGAGATTATAATGAACGCTATCACACCACACGGTCAGAAATAGGACAGAGGGCGCTCTGAAGGCTGGTTTGGTCACCCGTTATCATTAAAAATGGCTGACTCCCTAACACTATGCACAAAAATATAAAATGCAAATAAAAAATACAAACTTTTAAAGTATTTTTAAGAAAACGAGCAGAGCCTTAGAAATTTTGGTTCTTTTTTCCTCCACTGTTGCAAATTCATGTTGTGGTTTTGGTGGGTGGTGGAGAGCGCATGTCACCTATGGGTGGCACTGCCCGCTACGGGTGGGCGGGGCCTGCTCCTCTACTCGAAGGTGACCACGTTTAAATTCTGAGTCGGGAAGTGGAGGGTGAATGGGAAACGGTGGCCTTAAGTTTAGCTTTTCCTTTCTGTTGTCTAGTCATCCTCATTCTGCTTCTCGGTGTCAACGTCATCATCCTCACCATCTTCAGCTACCCGCTTGCCCGTAGGAGCCTCAGCTTCCTCATCTTCATCTCCATCCTCTTCCTCACCATTGCCTTCTTCCTTCTCCTCCTCCTTCCTCCTCTTCATCTACCTCATTGTCAGCCTCCTGCTCCCCATTTCCCTCATTTTGAGCATTCCCGTTGGCAGGTGCGTCTCTTCCATTCTCTGCCTCCTCCACAACTTCCTTCTCCTTCAAGTCCTTGGTGGTGATTTCAGAGATGGTGTCCACGGCTGCGTCTGACATGGTGGGGCATGCAGGTGATGTGCTGCAGCGAGGGAGGAGAGAAACGGAGTTCGAGGACTCTGGCGAGAGAGCTTCGGGAGTCCGAGTGGGAGGAGGAGGATGAGGAGGATGAGGAGGAGGAGGAGAGGGTAAAGGGGGAGGGGGCGGGCGGGCAGGCAGGCAGCGAAGGTGGCTGCAGCGAGCAGAGCAGGACCCGGGAACAATGCAAAGGTGGCTTTTCAGAGCAGCCAGTGGGGCCCTGCTCACCTCTTTTAGAGGGAGGTCCACCCGACCTCCACGCCCCTTTACTAGTGCCTAATAACTCCCGCTGTTTGGGACTGGCCCATGTTCCTCTACGCCAGGTGGAGCTCTGCCCTAGCATAGTTGTAATTGAGGCAGCTC